AGCATGGTTCTTTGTATTACATGACATGAAAAGTTATGTTTGTTTATGCTATTGTCGTATGTTAGTTCATAAAATATTGTAGTGTCCCCTTACTTATTAGTTAGAAGTAAAATATTGTTGTATATTGGCTCTCGCACAATTAGCAGCACACAAACACCAAAAATTTACAGCAACATACTACAATTCCTTGCTCCATTTTAATTATGAAATTATGGGAATTCATCAATAAAGCAAGTACAAAATACTACATTACACATAATTAGTGAATTTTTCACTGACCACCATATCATTCCCACACCTACATTTTAATTGTGGGTAATTAGCCTTTGACAAATTTGCGGATGAGCCACACACATTTGAGGTTGTTCCACATCCAGCCATGTTCTTTATAAAAATTAAAAATAAAAATAAAAAATTACCTTGAAAGTTGAGGTTAAGAATGTAGAAGAATGTAAAGAAATAGAGGAACAAAAGAAAGAAATGGACCATTGAAATGGAACAAAAAGGAAAAAAAAAACAAATAAAAGAGGTTAACTAGCTAAAAGAACAAATTTAAAAAATAAAAAATAAAAAATAAAAAACCTCCAACTCATCAACTGCCCATGCCACATAAGCAAGTTGATCTCCATAATTCGGTTAAAATTTTCATTTATCCAATAATAGAAGGAAAATTTGCCAAAAATAATACGATCTTTTAGCGGTTTTCCATAAATAGAACGACCTTTGGATTATTTCAAAGGAAAAATGGAAAAGAAAAATCCAATCTTTACACTTTTTCCTCCTACAAATCCAACCTTTATTTTATTCCTCAAAAATCTAACTCTTATACCCCTCCTTCTCTAACAGATCCATTTTACCTTTAACCTGTTAAGCAGGTTAAAAAGTTTTATTTTATTTATTTATTTATTTATTTTAATTCCCTCAATTTCTTTTCTCACTCCTCCTCTTTCTCTCTCCTCTCTCCTAAAAACGGAAACCCAACTACCCACTAGTACCACCGGTACGCCACCAACACCACCACAACCCCGTACCACCAGTGCACCGCCTAAACACCACCGATCAGCCCCTCCACCCGCACCACCCCCACTTATCAATGAAATTCATGAACCCACTTCTCGTCATCGTCTCCCTTTTCTCCCTTTCACAGTTGATACCTTAAAACCCTCCCTTGAATCTCTAAAAAAAACAGGTCTTTTTTTATCAATTTGTTTGTTAAATTTGTGGGTTTTGTTCAATTTGGGTTGTTTTATGTTATTATTGGCTGATTGGGAATTTCAATTGGGTATTTTATAATTGTGTTGTTGAATTGTGTTTCATGTCGATGTTGTGGCTGAAGGTTTAGGGTGGTGGTGATGGTGGTTGTATGGTATTGTGGGTTGTCACTGTGTGTGCGGTTGTTTGGGCTGAGCAAGGAATTATAGCGGTTTGGAGTTGGTGGCTGGGCGGTTTGGAGTCGGTGGTTGCGGTTTGCAGGGTTGCTGAAATGGAGGGTGGGACCGGAGTTAATTAGGTGGTGGTGCAAGCTGGGTTGTGGCCGGATAAGCAGGGTGGCTGGAAAGGGAGGGTAAGGGGAGGATGGTCGGAAAGGGAGGTGGTGATGAATGGTGGCCAGGTTTAATGTAGGTGGTGAGGACGGTGGTCGGAAAATCTGATATTTTTTGTTTTTTTTGTTTTTTAAATTTTTTAAATTATTTTTGTTTTTTAATAATTAAAAAATTAATTGACCCATTAATAGCTGACACGTGGAATCTAACTTAAAAAACCGGTCATCAATAGGTAATGGACCTTTAGATGAAGGGAGGGTATAAAGGTTGGATTTTTGAGGAATAAAACGAAGGTTGGATTTTTAGGAGGAAAAAGTGCAAAGGTTGGATTTTTAATTTCCATTTTTCCTATTTCAAAATGGAACGACCTTTGATACACATTTGCCATAAATAGAACGTGACCTGTTGAAGGTTACCAATGACACATGTCACAATGTCGTTGGTCAATTTGTTTAACAAATTTTTTTAAATTTAAAATAAAAAAAATACTTAAAAACTAAATAAGAAAACTGAAATTAAAAAAAAAACCCTCCCCCTTGCAGCCACGTAGCAGCCACTCGACCACCATCTCTTCTCCCCCTCTCCACCCCCTACCGGCGGCCTGATCCCTCTACCCGGCGACGGCGCACCCTTCCTGACCTAGATCTCGAGCCTACACGCTCCTCCCCTTCCCTTAATAAACCACCTTCCCTCCACCTTATAACCCCCTCCCTCCTCTTGAAAACCCACCCCTCCTCACCGCTCGACCGACCGGCGCTCCAACCCTTTCCTCTTTGCCCGCGAATCCATCACGCTCCTCCGGCGCCCATCTCCAATCCATTCCTCCCCTGAACCACCACTCGAAAACCTTAAAATCGAGTGGTGGTTTTAACCTCATTGAATTTTCGGGTGGTGGTTCAAGGGGAGTGGATAGGTGGTCGGAGTCGGGATTTGGGTCAGGAGGGTACCGCCGACACCAGGTATAGGCTCTGGCCATTGGCGGGTTAAGGGATGGGGATAGCAGGTGGTGGTGGGTGGCTGCCGGGAAGGGGGAGGGATTTTTTTTTTCCAGTTTTTTTTTTTTTTTTTTTTTGTTTTAAATTTTTTATAAAAATTTTAATTTAAGTTTTATTTTTTATATCATATTATTAAAAGAAAAATGTTAAAATAAAATAAATAAATTTTTAACCAATCACAAATGTGACACGTGTCCAAAGTAACCTGTGAAACAAGTTACAGGTTTTTTGGTCTATTTTCGGCAAATGTATATCAAAGATCGTTCTATTGTGAAATAATTCAAAGGGCATTCCATTCTTGGAAGACCGCTGAAAGGTCGTATTATTCTTGGCAAATTTTTCTAATAGAATGGTAGTAGTAAAGTTGTGCTTTTTTTTTCTTTTTTTTTTCGAATAACTCAAAGTTTAACTTATTGTTGGAAGATCACGAAAAGTTCGGATTATTTGTGTTAATATTTCCTATTACTAAATGTGGAAAATTATTATGGTTATAAGTTCAAGATAGTGTTAAATTTGTGCTCAAAGCTCCAAACTCTCACATGTGATGATTATATCATATGCCAGCAGACAATTACACCATATTCTTATTCTCAATGTCTAACATTCCCCCTCAAAAACCATTCCAGTTTGAAGTTCATTCATATTCATTTAGTATGAAAAAGGCATCAAGACATGATCACCATTAACTTAACGTGTTGAACTATTAATCTATGTTGTTGCATACCAAAACACCAATCTCAAAAACTACCAGTCGAACCAAAAATCACCAGATGCTCAGATAGCTACTATTGTATGTTGTCTTGAGTCTCCAAAATACCCCCCACAATCATATATAAACACTCAACAAGGATGTCCAAAGTCATACATGTTGTCACACTTCATACATACAAGCTCATACCAGAACACTACACAATCACCATAGATCTCCAACCAGAAACACCATCAACAATGCAGACTCTTATTTTATTGTCCAAATTCAACAATTAATCCAATCTCCAACAATATAGAAATACACTATAGCTCCAATGTAAAAAATAAGAAGAGAATGAATGCGGAAGAGAATGTGTTTAAAAGCTGAAAAAGAGAAGAAAATGATCACAAAGAATCTGAAAATTTGACCTCTTTGGGTCTGAGATTGACCACTTGGGTCTTTGAAGAAATGAGCCTCAATGGGTCTCACTAAAAATGATCCCAAATGATCTCAAAACTGACCTTTTGGCCACTACAAAACTGACCACTATGGGTCTTGAAAATGACCTTTTATTGGGTCTGAAAAACTAATCTCAATGGATCATAAAAGAAGGCCTCTATGGGCACAACAAAATAACCAACTATGGTTCTCAGAATTCAAAGCCTCTATGGACAAAATGACATGCCACTATGGGAAAAATCAAGCCTCCATGGGCAATCAACAAGCTACTATGGGCGAAGACAAGCCTCTATTGGCAACAAATTATTCACAATTAACCTTCTTAGTCACACCAAAAACTTCAACAAATCACCATAAGTTCAATTAGAAAAAGCCACCAAACAATGACAAACAACGTATGCTACCACTTAATATCCACAACAAGCAAACAATACAAGACACACCTCAATTCAACTTTCAATCAAGAACAATCTAGATCCAATAGTAACTAGAATCTTAAACCACAATAACATAACCAAATTCTGATTGTACTTCGCATTAATTAAAATACACCAAAAAAAACCAAATCACCAAGCTAGAAAGGATTGAAATTGAAAGCATGAGGATTATACCAAATTTTCGCAGAAAGTCTCAAGCTAATCAAGAATGTAAGAAGTAATATTGAACTGGATTTTTTCCCAAATTGAGCTTTATTGGTAAATTATTTACCAAATTGGTCTCGTGGGAAAAGTTTTCCCAAACTAAGCTTCTGGGGTTTACACCCAGTTTTTTTAAAAAAAAATTCAAGAAGTAAAATGTTGTCTCAGACAGCGTTTTACCTTGTTGACCTGCTGGTATGTATTTTGGCAAAATATACTAGTATATTTTGCCAAATTATACTGGAATATGTATATGGGCTTTAAAACGCTGCCTGAGACAGCGTTTTATGTTGAAGCATAAAACGCAGCCTGAGGCAGCGTTTTATTTGAAGCATAAAACGCTGCCTCAGGCAGCGTTTTTCTGCTAGACTGCATTACCAGCAGCATCTGCTACACTACATCACCAGCAGTTTCTGCAATCTGCTGCTGCCCCTACACATAACCCTCACCCAGCAGCATCAACTCAGCCCCACCATGAACCACAACCCCCACCACCATCCACCACCCCCACCACCATCCACCACCATCAATCACCTCCCCCACCACCACCGGCCGCCACTCTCGACCACCCCTATGCAATGCAAAACACCCTAAACAACGCAAGGACATTCCCACCACCCCCATCATTAACCACCACCCCCACCACCATCAACCACCTCCCCCACCACCACCGCCCGCCACTCTCAACCACCCATAAACTACCATAAAACACCCTAAACAACGCAAGAGCATTCCCACCACCAGCCCCAACCTTTCCACCACCATCGACCACCACCAACAACCATCAAACACTGGAAACAACCCTAACAACATGATAACCATCGTGAAACAGCACTTTAAGTGCAGGAGACCAAATATATGCTGCTTGATACATATAACGGATATAAAAGATATAGTTTCACTAACAAAAGTCAAATTCGGACAAATAAGGGAAATAAACTTCAAATTGTACAGAGAGTCATTTAGAAAACATTTCTTGTATTAATAATGTAAGCGTTATATACAACATTGTTAAATATCTGAGTATCACAAAAGGATCAACTAACTAATACTATCCGGACTCATGTATTGGAGTTAACTGATCTCCGTCCTGTGTGTCCTCCATCTGTCTACGAACACGCCTCGGACGCCTCGTGTAATGCTGAATGGTGGTGAATGGGTCTCGGGACGATGGAGGAGTCAGCTGGCGAGACGATGAGTCACCCTGGCTGTGGCCGGGAGCGGTGTTATGGATGAAGTAATCCTCTGCCTGTGTAGAGCCCGAAGTATGACCTCCACCACTACTCTGTCCGAAGTCGAACTGTGAATGGAAGGAGTTGGGGTCATGATCGTCCCTGGGGTGGACGAGATGGCCATGGCCATATCTCTGCAAGCTATGTATGCCCATATCTCGCACCCGCTCAACCTGGGCTCTAGTGGGTACGGCTGCTAAGGCATCTGAAAGTGCATCAACCATCGCACCCATATCCCCCGCCTGCAGTAATCATCCATGAATTAGTAATATGATATAGAATTTCAAATAATTTTGGAAAACAAGAAACTAAAAAAACTCACAAGTCCGCTGATAACATCATAAGCTGGATGGTAGTGCGTGGACGGTGGGGTGTAGGTAGGGTTGATGAAAAGGCGTGTAATCTGCCTGTACCATACCATGTAAGGATCACGCGGATCCATAACACCCTAAAACAGGTGACCGTCAACGATGGACTCCAACCGCTGGTCCCAAAGCTCAATGAATTGATGATGCTCCAGTGCCTAGTTTGTCTCCAACTTTCCACGACGGTCAATGCCGTGGAGGCGAATACTAGTGTCACAGGGCATGGGGATAGGCTGGTGAAGTCCGAACTGTCGCAACACTCAGTCCGGTAGGTGGCTCTCTACGACCTCAAAACAGATCATGGGGGTCCTGGCAAGCCACTCAGCACGATGCTCGAGCAAGTGTTCCGGCATGGCCTCTACCAACACAGCAGAATAGGGATCCCATGTCATCTGCAACAAGGATATATTGTGAAAAGGTTAGGGCAATGCCAATAAACAGTATAAAGAGTAAACAAACGATTACAAATGTAGTGCAAGATTCCACCTGTTCATCCGAGAGTCGATCGAGGGCGTCACAGTAGTAGAGAAGACCTCTCGCTGTATGCGCATGTGTTAGTCTGGGAACCACCCACCTGTGGCAACAAATTATTTAAGAAGTTGTACTAGCTAATTATAACAAAATTTGAGTACACAAGTATAATGTTACGAACCTACAACCGTATGCCTGATCGGGTTCAGGGAGCGGGGGAGCATCGTATGCTGCGTACTGATCGTCCTGGTCCAGCTGCCCTGAACGGTGTACAACAGGCCTACCTGGTCTCCCTACATGGATGTGCTCCCAAGCCCATAGCTGTTTTAAAAATCAAATAAAAGGTAAAGCATAAATAACGTCAAGTCATTATCAGACTAGGCTTAAGGATAATGATGAGGTTTACCTGTAGCACAACCAAAGGACCTCCAATCAGCTGTGCTCCACGCTATGATGCTCTACACAGATGGCGATACAAGACCGCCAAACAAGCACTACCCCAACTGTATCCACGGATCTCATCCCAGTCGTGGTCTAACAGCTGCAGGTAAATAATCTGAAGATGGCTTCCGCTCTTGTTTCCAAAGAGCACGCCCGAGATGAGCAAGAACAAGTAAGCTCGGGCGTATCTCTGCACTGTGGCGTCGTCAGCGTCCTGAGGTAAATGTCCAAAAGTGTCGCGTAGCCAACCGGTCCTCAGCGCGCTGCCCCTGATCTCGTTTGGCTCTGGCTGAACCCCTAAAACCCGACCTACTAAACCTGCGGGGTCAAGTACCACACCCCCTGTCACCGCATTCCCATGGATGGAAAGGCGTGTGAGTATCGCGACGTCCCGCAGCGTGACTGTCGCCTCCCCCACAGGAAGATGGAAGGAGTGTGTCTCCTGCCTCCATCTCTCAACTAATGCTGTGATAAGCCCTCGATCTATTTCTCTGTAGCCCACGCGATGAATACCACCAAAGCCAACCCAGTCGACGTATTGAAGAACGCGTGGATCGACTGCCTAGCCGGACCTCAAGTGCCTGCACCCCAACATTTCCGCTATGTCCACCTGGTAATTCATTTAAAAACTGTAAATAAGGGTCAAGTATACAAAAAAACAAGACAAATCTGTATATGAAATGGCACGTGAGAAATTACCGTCTGCTCCCATATGTCAACACTCCGATGTTTATCCTGCAGTGTAAGGACAGAAGGGTCAAGTGGTCCTGGTATCCGATCGTGTCCGACCATGATATCTGTTCATTCAAAACAATATGGCCAAACCAATTAAAAAACAGAATTACTAGTCAATGAAATTGACATGACTGTCACAGGTAAAAGACAAGTGTACTCAACATTTGATCCATCGCACATAATTTCACCTCCCCACCGGCATAACAACACTACATTTTGTGAAGCCATATTCTATATACCAACCAAAACACATTTAAGGATAATCGAATTCTAAAACAACGTCAAAAAACCCTAATTTAACAATACATAACATACATAGTTTCGATAATGGAAAGTTATATCAAATTTCGAGAACCTACATGTGTAGCTAATATGACAACAATGAAACAAGTCCATTCTCATTATCAACATTTTCATCACCAATTTCATAAACTCTTAGTACCGCATACAACTATCAACATACTAATACCGCATTACCATCAACAATTTTATCATTTTTTCACAATAATAGACCACATTACCATCAACAATTTCATCAAGAATTTCATCAAAAACAAACCACATTAACATTGACAATTTCATCAACAATTTCGTCGACAATTTAATCAACAATTTCGTCTATATTTTTCCTCAACAATGTACCACATTATCATCAATAATTATCAACAATTTATCACATTTCATTACTAATTAGCAACAAATTAATACAATTTACATCACAATTTGCTACAACATACAACAACTATCTACTACCAACTATTCAATGTAAAATTCAACAATGTACTACGAATTTAGGGTTTACCCGGATTTAAAGAGTGAGTGAGACAATGCCGGCAACAACTTCCGTTCACTTTGGCGGCGGCAGGGGCGGCGACACGGCAGGGGAGGCGTTGGCAACAGCTGTGGTTCTTTGTTGCTGACAATGAGAGTTAGTGAGAGAGAGAGTGTAAATTGCGTGAAAGAGATTGAGAAAAAAAGGCCTGGAATTCGTTATAATTCCCGCAAGAAACGCTGCCAGAGGCAGCGTTTAATGTACAGATAAAAACGCTGCCTCAGGCTGCGTTTTATGCTTGTACATTAAACGCTGCCTGAGGCAGTGTTTCATTTAAAGATATAAACGCTGCCTCAGGCAGCGTTTATTTGTATAAAACAGGTATGAAATACGAAGTTTTTGAAAAAAGTCAAACTACCATAAAACGCTGCCTCAGGCAGCGTTTTATGTCTTGAATTTTTTTTTAAAAAAACTGAGTGTAAAACGCTGTCTGAGACAGCGTTTGACCTCAGAAGCTTAGTTTGGGAAATACTTTTGCCACGAGACCAATTTCGTAAATAATTTCCGTATAAAGCTTAATTTGGGAAAAAATCCTATTGAACCAGACACCCAATTTCCTTCAATAACCATTGAAGAAAAGAAGGCACAAACATCAACAACAACCATACCAGCAACTCGAAGTGATGACGGTGGTGGCTACCAACAACGGGGCTTAACAAGAACATAGAAACCAAAGTTCACGGGCAGTAATATCAGCGGAAAAACCCAGAACCTTGAATCCGAGACAATCTTTAATCTCTAAACATCTCTAAATCCATAACACGAAACCCCATAAATCGATCAAAAATCTTCAAGAATATCCATTAAATTAAACCACCAAAAAAAGGCCAAACAGCTGAAAATTCTCAAATACAGAAGGTTTAACAAGAAAAACTCTTACAATTTGTGGCTTATTGTTCAAATTCAAACAATAAATAATGAAATTGGAAGAACCCTAGAAATTGGGAAAATCTATACTTTAGTTAAAAATGGCGACCTTAATTTTTTGAATGCATTTTGATAAGAGGTAGGAATATAGGTCGCGAACTATCTCCTCCTAATCAAACAATATTTATAAACATTTTACTACCCTAAAACAAGTATAGGGGCAAGCAAAGGATCAGACCACAAGGACTAAGGGTCAATGATTTAAGTCAATTAAACAACTAGATCGGATAAGAAGTTGGGAGAGAAGATTAAGTAACAAAAGATAAATAAAATCAAGTGATAAAAGCACTAGGGATTGGGGAATCGACGCATATTGATGAATTCAACCAACCAAATGTGCATAAATGATCAAGAGCTAAATTAGGAGAAATTAACACATTTAATTCACTTCCGAACAATCAAACATGCTAATTAACTCGACTAGATTGATGCTCATGGCCACCATCTCTTGTTGGTAGTCATATTGTTGTTGTTGATGTTGCTCTCTTCTTCTTCCTTGATGATGTTGTTGTTGAATAGGAGGGACCACCTCCGATCCACTGTAATACCCTATATTTTCATACGTATTTTCCAATTAATTAATTAAGAATTATTTTATAAAAGGGTATTTTAGTAAATTCATTATTTGGAGCCAAAATAATATTTGAATTTTGGCGTCAAATATAATTATATAATCTTTGAGTAATAAATTATTTTCGGATTTCTAAATTAATAATATAGGTTTAATTATCTTTTTTTAAGGTCGGTCCATACTTTTTTATACTAACTATTTCAAGAGAAATATCTAATATACATTATGTATTTAACTAATTTTGATATTATATAAAATATTTATTTATTCAATTATTTTATTATGACTTTCGTTTTTATTATTTAAAAAAAAAAGGAAAAGAAATTTTTGTGAACATGAGCTTATCATGTTTTTAAGAGTGATTTTATCACCTTAGTTTGTTAATAATTATTTAACTTAACCTCTAATTCTCTATCTCATTTTGTTCCTATCTTCCTTCTCCCAACCATATATGTGTATCTATTAATTTTTCTTATCTTTTAACCAACCTACTAATCTAGACCAAATGTTACTCAAATTCATTCAACAAACTTAAACTTATCATGTTCTTATTCTAATCTCATTCCACCTTAAGCTCTATCCTTTATACACCCTCAACACTATAAATAGACCCTTAATTCTTCCCACTTATTCACACTAATTCTCTACTTTTCTTCTCCTCTTTTTACACAAATCATCCCGTTTATCTTTGAAGCCAATTTTCGGGCACTTTTGGACAGTTTTGGGGTCACGGAATATTGTTCCTCTCAAAAAATCCTTGAGGTTAGGCTCAAGAATCACCCAACTCGGAGTTATATCGAAGGAGTTATAGCCTCTGCAAGTTCTGCCTATTCTTTCCAACGCAAATCCATTTCTTCTCTTTTCCTTGGTTTCTTATCTTTTCTTATTCTCTTCTCTTATTCAATTATTATCATAATTATTATGGGGGATTTATAAATAATTATTATGAGTAGTTTTAATTATATAAAATCAGATTTTTAATAATGTTTATGTTGAAAGGTTCATGTACATATAGTTGAAAGGTTCATGAGTACTTAACTATTTGTGATTATTTGTTAACCTTATATTGATTAAGGTTATATTTATTTTTAGGGTGTGTTCAATCAAGGTTCTTGAGGTTCTTTTTGTGTGGTTTTTCTAGCAAGGATCAAGGTACGTTTAGGTGGCTAGATACCTTTGAAAGTAATTGGTTTGAATAACATGTTTTACATGATTTGATTGGTGATTGAATTAAATTGATTTTGAAATAAATTATGTTTGACGGTATTTATTTTAATAAAAGTATTTGAATGATTGATTTTTAAATCATGTTTTGAATGGTTTGGATTACTTATCGTGTTTAAATAATATTGGAAACTATTGGATATTAAAAGGATTTGTTGAACCATTGAATTATTATTATTAATGCTTTATAAGCATGTTAGTAATCCCACTATGCGGATTTGGTTTATTGATAAGGCCTTGGACTTTGTATGACCGATTCTTTCCTCAAGAATAGCCTTGTAATATAAGGAGACTAGGTTAGGGGGTGTGCACATTTGGGTGAGTGTAGGGAATAATTTCAAGCCTTTAAAATCCCACTAGCTTGAATCCCACTGTGATCATACACTAAAATACGGTGGCGTCCAAAAGGGAAGAAGATAGAGCAAAAGAGTCGCCAACAAGTTTTTTAGGAACTTGTAAACCGTTCATAGGATGAAGGTTACATCCCTTAACGATCCAAGAGATCGTCAACTCCATAAGGTCTAGAACCAAATAAGGGTTCAGGGATGAAGGTACAAATCGAACCTAAAAGAGATTGAACCTGCCCTAATAATAGGCATCTACTTTATTCTGATCGTATTCATGTGCGCTTTTTAATTAACATGCAATCAATAGGATTAACCCTAAACCTGTTTAATCTATGTTGGTTGAATATTAATGCACAAATAAACTATTATTGGCGATCACTTGAATTATAATCAAAATTAACCCTAACAAGATTATTAAATATCTTATTAAGCGTGATTACAAGTACAAATTCCCTTTAAACTTGCATAAAAGGTGTGATCAAGCAATAACAATAAAAATCAAGCAACA